CACCTGCGCTGGTGCCTTCTTCCTATACAAGGATTCCGTGGAGGTCATGGATTGCCTCACCCAGTACGACATGATCGCCGTGGACGAGGTCTCCCAACTCTCGCAGAAGGACTTCGAGCGCATAGTGCAAATGTGGGAGGCCGCTGACCGCATTCCAGCTTTGATCTTTGCCGGGGACTTCTGGCAGCTCCCAGGCGTCCAGCCGACACGCGCCACGGATAGTCCCAAATGGCGCCTGGTGCATCAGATTGAGCTCCACGAGATGTGGCGGTGCAAGGACGAAACTTTGCGAGAGAAGCTCATGGCCTTGCGCACTGCCATGCCCACCAAGGCGCTGCTGAAGCGCATCGCGCTGCGCCACAAGGCGTGGTCGGGGCACCGGGAACCGACGGCTTGGGACCTCCAGCACCTCTACAGCAAAGTGCCCCACACCACCGTCGCCACATGCACCCGGAGGGCGGCCGCCCATGTGAACGAGCTCTCTATCTGGGTACTCTTCACCACGAAGCGGAAGCGCCCACTGGCCGAGCTCAAGGTGGACTAGGAGTCGAATGCGGACAATTTCGACGAGGAGAACAAGGTGGTGCTCGGGCGGCCGCCGGTGCCTCTGTCCATGAAACTCTTCAAGGGAATGCGGGTGCGCATCACCAGAAACGTGGACAAGGGCTCGGACTTCATCAACGGCGTGGAGGCCACTGTGAAGAGCTACGACTCGGCCTCGCGCTGTGTGCACGTGCTCACCAAGACGGGCCGCAACCTCGCAATCTACCCCATAACCGATTGGATCCAAGAGTGTGGGTACGTGACCGCCTACCCTATTCGCGCTGGGTATGCCAGCACAGTGCACAAGCTGCAGGGGGCGGAGCTTGACCACATAACCATCTGGCTGGATATCCCCTTCATGAAGGCAGCAGGATACGTGGCTCTCAGCCGAGTGCAAAGAGATGGCGACTACCTCCTGGGCGGCAAGGTCACTCGTCGGCACTTCGTCCCGGCCATGTGAGGGGCGCCGATGTAAAATACTCTGTGTAGCATCATCAGGCATGAGCCTGAGGCGGCCTGGAGAAGGTGCTCTGCCGCGTGGAAGGCTAAGCTTGTAATTTCTTTTCTGCTTGGAAGCCACAGCTGGCGGGAGGCTGTAGCACAGTCCTGCCCTGTGAGTTGCCGCAGACGGCTGCATCGAAACCATGCCCTTGACAGAAAAACAGATCCAAGCATGTCTCCCTGTGCGCTTGCCGTTCACGAGGCATGTCGACTGTGCATGCAGCAAAGCTCATGTGCTCTCCTTGCGTTGTCTGTGTGTCCCCCGCCGCCGTTTTTTTTGCCCAGTGTCGTGCCGCTGGCTCAGCTGGGGGAACAGCGGCCAAGCAGTCTGCCAGAATACTAGAGCCTTGAAGTATGTCACAGTGCCCGGTCCCCGATTGAATGGCGGCCCTCGTAGGTGCTGCCTGGGCCCCCGCCGGGATGCCATAAAACTTTAGGAACTAAACCCTAAAACTCAGGGTGGTCATGGGGTGGGTTGACTGCTACGCACTGGTGCGAGCGGCCTGGGTGTGTCCCACACCAGCGAGCACCTTCTGCCGTGACCACACCCTAAACCCTAAACCCTAAGGTAGCCGTACCTTGGCGGCGAAGCAGTCTGGCCACTGACTTCATTCAACTGTCTGAAGTTTTGCAGGATTTTGAGCCCTCAAAAGCGTTGCAGTGAGCTTTCTGGTTTAGTTAGGAGCTGAAGCCTAAATCTTAGACCCTGGACCAGCCCCCAAACCCTAAACCTTCAGGGCTTGCGCAGGCTGCCTGCCTTGTGCGTTGTTGGCACATTCCCACAACACCCTAAAGTCGAGGCCCTAGGTCCTGAACCCTGAACCCGAACCTCTAAACCGACACTGGCAGTTGCTGTTGGGCTTTGATTCTTTGCCAACATAACTTTGAGGCGTGTTCCACGTATATGATACCATCATCGGTTAGGAACAACGGAAATAGGTATGTATTCAGATTTCTACTACAATTACTCAGCCCCTATCTACATGTTTTCCTCTAGTTGTATTCTCTTTTCCATTTCATGTTCTTTTTTTTGGGATGCCAGCCCGAAACGCTGAATCTAGATCCCGAACCTTTACGGAACCATCGCCTTATGCTTTGGGTTCGGGGCCAGTCTCCGCGATCCCTGGGATAGGGCTTAGGGTTCAGAATGCAGATATCCTGCGGAGTTCTTAGAAATGATCCAGTAGTAGAGTAGGGTACCATGCACGGGGTTCTACTTTCTAGATCCTTGCGGTGGTCCCACCCTAAACAGAAATCCCACACCCTCTGACTCCCAAAACTGGAGCCTGTCTAGACCCCAAACGTGCTAAACCTGAAGGTCTTCAAGCCGCAGCTCAGGGACCCAAGGCCCTAAAACCCTCGACTCCAAATCCGAAGCTTCAAAACCTCAAGCCCCGAACACCAAACCTCAAGCTCCAGACCCTGAACGCCAAGAAGTCCTGAACTAGCAGTAAATTCTAATTCTAATCCCTAAGCTCCACACTCCTAAGCCCTAATCCTTAGCCCCCAACCCGAAACACCATCCGCAATCCCTAAACCTCAAGTCCTAAACCCTAAACCCTAAATCCTAGATCCTAAACCCTAAACCCTAAATCTTAAATCCTAAATCCTAGACCCCAAAGCCCTGAAAGCTTGAGGGCTCGCGACCTACCTCGGGCGGATCCCCGTCTCTATCAGCCCTGGCCTCGACAGGGTGTGAAGGGTTTAGGGTTTAGGGTTTAGGGGTTTAGGGATTAGGGCTTAGGGTTTAGGGCTTAGGGTTTAGGGTTTAGGGATTAGGGCTTAGGGATTAGCGTTTAGGGTTAAGGGATTAGGGATTAGGGTTTAGGATTCACGATTAGCTAGAGCTGGAAGCGAGCAAGGCTTGTTTCATCATTACACATATTTGGTATCACCCCACCCTCCCAGAATCCCTTTTCATTTAGCATTTTACCACCTTTTCCCCTCGCTCGCCACCTGCCTGCGTCACTTCGGAAAATTCCCGCCAACAACCTTTAAGCCCGTTTTTGTATTATATATATATATCCCATGTGGGGGCTCAGGGTGAGCTAGTTCGTGATGGAAGCCGCCAAAGCGATGGAAATCACGCGGTTTTGGTTAAAGCGCCACCCGAAAAAGGTTTGCTGGGCTCTAAAAGCACGCAGTCACTGCCCCAAGAAAAGTTTGAAGAGGTCAAAAAAGGTTTTGGCTAAGGCACCGCCTTAAGGAGCCCAGCTGGCACCAAAAGACTTCCAAAATTCTCTAGCAAAGCCCTCCACAGGAGTGTCTGGCAGCCTCTACAGGCTTCCAGAAGGTTTCAGACGGCGAGCCCTAAATCCTAAATCCAAAACCCTAAACCCTTAATCCTAAATCCTAAACCCTAAATCCCAAACCCTAAATCCTAGACCCTGAATCTTAAACCCTAAATCCTCAATCCTAAATCCTAATCCTTAATCCTAAATCCTAAGCCCTGAATCCTAAATCCGCCTCCAAAGGCATCCAAGTCCAGAGGTCTCCAGGAACCTCCAGAGGCCTCCAGAGGCCTCCAGAGGCTTCCAGAGGCCTCCAGAAGCCTCCAGAGGCCTT